TAGGAGAGCAAGGGAGAAGAGATCTTAAGCTACCACAAAGGAGGAGAGAATAGCTATAGAGTTAGAGAGGAGGAGAGCATCTTGAGGCCTTGTATCAAGGTGTCGCTTGAGAGGGAGGTCATAGAAGGAAGATGAGGGCTCATCTCTATGTATAAGCTATGTATTCTCCATTTCTTTTGCCTTAGTGAACTATTTGATTGATTCCCTTCCGTGGACGTAGATCCAGTTGGATCGAACCACGTAAACGATCTGTGTTTGCTTGTGTTCTTTTTCGTCTCATTTCTATGCCATGAAGTACATATCTCACAACATTAAGCACTACTATAAATTTTCTCTACTTCTAATTTTAAATGAATGATAAATAAGGGAGAAAAAAAATTGTAGTGTTTTGTTTAATGTTAACATATTGCAACAGAGATTTGGAAGATGTCAAATAAATTCAGAAGAAGACAAATGTTAATGCTAATGATTTCTATCTCAGCAATAGGAACTAAAGATCCATAAATAATTTAGAATTTGAGATTGTTGTGTGTGGAGGCGTAATGTAACAATCTCCTAACCCATTCTTTTCATTTCATTAAAATGAAATTTGAATTGAGAAAGATCATTGCAGGAAGTTCTTCCCATTAAGTATGCATAATGCATTTGAAGAGGTGGACACTCTCAAATCAATTGTGCGACTTGGAAACACAGGAGAAGAGCACATCTTTTCTCAAAATTTGGTTGATCTAATTAAGCTCGCTTGTATTTTCCACAGGAGAATAGCACATCGTCTAGAACCATGGTTGATTGTGGACTACAATCAAGCACAGATAAAAGAGGCCCATTTGGGAATTCTTTTATTTCTCACTTGATTTGTCCATGTAACTAGATAAGAAATAACGCTCGCGCGCTCAGTAAAATAAGAAAAGTTAGAGTCTTTCTTCTCCATATTGTTCCTACAAGTCTTCTTCTCTATGTTCTATTTTTATTAAAGTCATCTCCTTTGACCCTCCAATCCATCTTTTGTCGCAAAGCTATTATTTCCTTTGTTTTAGCAGTAATAATAATGGTAAGGATAAAAAAACATGCGATATAAGCTTCTTTTCTGACGCCACCTCCAATCATGAAACAATATTCATGGAAACTAAAATATTGATGGAAGTTTTTAATCTGATAGTTATTGGGAATAAGTTGATTTGGAAAAATTATCTTCAGTGAGTCCAATCAATTATGGAGTTTAACAACAAGAGCTGAGAGCATTCCATCTCAAGAAAGAAAAAAAAAATCTAAAATTCAGGAGATGGAGATCTAATTAAAAGCATGTCTATGTGCTTAGTTGATTAACAACATGAAAAATAAACTTAGCCAAAATTTTCATACTTTATATATAGAATATTGCAAAAAACTTTATGATGACACAATATAATTAACTTGGGAGGTGAAAAATTTTATTGAGTTACTTAAAAAAGTAGGCCCGCTCCACTTCTTTCACTAATATTATAACGCTCTTAATGGGTATAAAAAACAACTATATGTTGTGAAAAACTAGATCTTTAGTGCTTGAACATGCAACCAAGTATACAAACTTAGTTGACAATGTTAGGATATCAAAATTACTTCATAAGATGAATCAAAAATATAAAACATTCTATCAATTTGGGAAGATTTCACTCAAGTTCTCAAGTTCATAGAGAAAAGACACAAGAGAAAAGACACAAAAAAAAAAAAATATATGAAGGAACACAAAGATACTCCATGGCAACCTGCTTCTTTTAGTGCCTTTGGCACCATCACAAAATTTTCTTACTCTTCTTGTTATTCTTCCTCTAATAAGTTCACATCACAACTTTCTTGTCATCATCGATACCTCAAACTCTCATCACAATTTTTTTCTATCAGCTCTTCAATGATATGGAGTTCATGAGTCATGCTTGAGCTTCCATGAAAATTAAGCTAAGCTTTAGCTCAACATTTGAGCTCGACATTAGCTCATGTTTTATCTCCATCTTGTCATTAGACTATCAAGCCATGAATGGGTTAATTGTGACTCAATCTCAACTTTCTCATCTAAACCCATAAAGGCAATCTTTGAGAGTCTAATTTGATTAATTCACTACAATGATAAAGAAGTACATATACGCTCAAGGGAAGGCTGATCACATTCTATTTGTCAGAGAGTTATCAAATAGATAAAATAATTATGCACGATACCTATAATGATAATATTGTCTTAATTGGTAATAATGAAAAGGAAATATTCGACTAAAATGGACCTGATCTACTAAGTTTGAGATTAAGGATCTAACTAACTTTAATTATTTAATTGATATGAAAAGTATAACAAGATATATATATACCTATTAATATCCCAATGGATCATATCAAAGATACTTGGTCCAAATGTGATTTTACATAAGCAAGCAAATAAATATACCAAAATATGGCTGGAGAAAACTAACTTTCTCATATTGGACCAAATATTTGCTTTTCTATCAAAAG